ACCTATACTATTGTTATTCTGTGTGTCTGTGGGTAGGGGATGGAGGGATTCTCTGCTGTGCTAAGGCCTCCACTCAGCTTTGCAAGCAGGTCCAGGACCCAAGGGATGATAAAAAGGTGTTTGGGCAGCAGTAGCAGCCACAGGCTGCTCGGGCCCCATTCTCTGCACTGGGTATTTCCAGCCCTAGAGTCCTGCCTTGAGTGTTTTTTCTGACCTGCCTGGGGTTCTGTGACCTGGCCTGGCACCTGCAGGTGGACAGGAGAAAAACTCTCTTGCTATTCAGCATGCCTCCCCAGCAGTCCTATGTAGCCCTAGTCTCCAGTGCCCCATTTGGATGTGAAGGGTGGTAGTACCTATTAGATTGGTTTTTTGTTTGTTTGTTTGTTTGTTTGTTTGTTTTTTCAGAACCAGGGATTGAACTCAGGCCCTTGCGCTTGCCAGGGAAGCCCTTATTCCACTGAGTCATCTCCCTGACCCCCTCGATTGTTTTGCTTTGCTTTGTTTTGTTCTATCTGAGACAGGGTTTCACTAAGCAGTTCAGGCTGACCTTGAACTCACTAGGTAGGCAGTGGTCCTCCTGCCTCAGCCTCCTGAGCACTGAGATTAGAGCCGTGCACCACCATGCCTGGTTCCTCCTTTGAAAATTAATTGACAACTTGACATGGCCAGTCTCAGAAGATGCCAGAGTCAGGCCACCTATCCCTGCACAAATAGGAACGTAAGGCCCACTCCACCTTGCATAGCATATTCTCGTGTATGAAAATCATCCCTCTCCGTAGGGTGGCCCCCCAGTCTTAGTAACCATGGCACTCAGCAGGCATGTTCATCCCATCGTGCTGTGCTGGGGTCTTCACTGAATGGATACTGAACTGTAATCTCGCCAGACTTGCCACTAGAATGGAAGCCCCATGAGACAGGACGGAGATCAAGTCCTGTGTGTCACCCTACTCCCCACCTGAGAACTATGCCTCTTAGAGTGCGCCTAGATCTCTGTTAAATAAGAGGCGACATGGATTTTTTTGGTAATTTAATTAACAACTGCGATTTTTTGCTGTTGTTATTTTGAGACAAGATCCTGCTATGTAGTTCAGGCTGCACTTGAACTTGAGATTCTCCTGCCTTTGCCTCCTGAGTGCTGGATTATCCTGCCTCAGGCTCCTCCCTGTGCCACCACACCCAGCACAACTCCGGTGTGTTAGGCAGGCACTATACCGCTGAGCTATATCCCCAACCACAGTTACAGTATATAT